AAAAATAACATCCCAAAATTTAGAAATTAAATATAAAAATGAAGTTATTCTTTCTAAAGAAAATTATCCATGGGATTCAGCAACTATTAAATTAGACCAATTTTACTATAATGGACATGAAAATTATGAGTGTAAAAAAGAAAAAATATTGTCTAATGAAAATCATTTCCAAAAAGTAAAACTCAGTAATAGTACACCATTAGGATATTTTATCATTGATGAAGGTTTAACAATCCCTTTAAAATTTGAACAAGATGATGTCCTAGAAAAAATACATGAAAATTTTGATAAGACAACAAAAAAGAATGATTCAATAAAAGAGGCTGATAAAGAAAAAAAAGATATTAAAATTCTCATTCTTCAATTAAAAAAACAAAGAAATAAGGAATTAAATCAGATTATAAAGGAGAGTGAAAATCAAATAAAGAACATTGTAGATGATTTGGAATTGCTCAGAGAAATAAAAAAGAAATTAGAGTCTTATAAAACTTCTACAAATTAATTTATTCTTGCACAGTATTTGTATTGTTTTTTTTTAACAATAAATGTATTATATGAATTACACAGAGGGTTTGAGAATATTTCTTAGTAAAACAATTTGTTGTTTATTTAAAATAAGTATTATTTAAGAATAACTTTGTCACTCTGTATTTTTTTTGCTCAAAACTCTACATACATAAGTTAAAAATTTCTTTGTAATTTGTTTGAGAATAACTTTAATAATTATTATTGGTAGGTAAGAGAATTAAATAATTCACATTATGTAATTTTGATAGTTGAATACTGTTTATATAACTAGTTTCACTGATTTTATATTCAAAAAATACAAATAAGTTAAAATATCAATATTTTATTATTCTGATTATTTTGAGTATTTAAAATTATTGAATATTTTTGGTGTTTATTTTTTGTTGTTATTATAAAAATAATAAATATATTTTATGTATTTTTAGATCATTTGAAATATTAATTTATATAAATATGCTATTTTGACATTTAGAAGTTTTTCTTTTTACTCCCTTCAATTAATGTTTTATTTTATTTAATTTTATTTTCAGTAAAAAGACAGTTTTATATTTTCAATGTCTAATTATTTAATTCAACATAACTGAGAATATTCAATAGTTAATTGAAATGATGTACAGAAGAAGAGTATTAATCACATTTTATTTATTATTTATTATTTATTAAATTTTATTATATTCTGAAGTTAAATTAAAAAATTGTGTTTTTAGATAGTATGGTAAAATTGATGATTAAATTCAAATAGATTAATTAGAATATACAAAGAGAATCATTGTAAGAAATAAAGAAATAAAGGATATATCCAAGTTATTCAAATGTGATTTTTATTCATTATGAATGAAGGAAACTAATGGTTGAAATGTTAAAATAAATTAAAGTCACAATAACATTTTTGAAAGATGTTTAATAATTCTTTCAACATTAAAAAATGAAATTATGATTTTTATGAAGAAATAAATTCGTTTTAACCGATTTAAAATAATGTATTGAATATTTTTAGAAAAAAAACGATTTGATTAAAAATAGAATAAATAAAAATAATTCAATGTAAATTCTTGTTGTCATTATTTTATCTTTTTGTTTAAGTTACTGAGAGTTTATTATTACAACTTAAAATAAAAAGGAGTTTATTAAAAAATTCTAATATTTCCAAAAATAGATTATAATAAATATGAAACGATTTCAAAAGAGAATAATGAAGAATTTAACTCGTAAGAAAATGGTTATTGATAATTAATCAAATAATTATTAAACTTTCAGTTAAGGAAAATAATCAACACAGAAGTTAGTAATATTTAAATAAAGAATAAGAGTAATGAAAAAAGCAAATGACGAATCAATAAAAAAATAATGAAAAATATATAAAATTAGACATTGATTTTTGAAATAATCAAAAATTTCAGTAATTTCCAACGTCACAATTTTGAATCAGTAAATAAAATCAGTTTTGATCCATAAGACTTTATTTTTTCGATTTTTAAAAAATACAACAAACAACATTTTAAGGAAGTTAAATTGCGAATAAAGGAGTTAATTATTAACTCCAATCATAATCAAAATTTCCAATGTATCAAAAAAGTACACCAAGGAAATAAATGAAAATCGCTAATAATTGTCGTCATATAAAAAATATTCTTCCCTAAAATATTTTCTCGTTATAAAAAGAAAAAGAATAGAACTAAATAATTAATGGCTGTAAGAACAAGGGTCATTTCACCACGTATTTATCCAAAACTTAAATTATCTACTAGTGCTGTTAATGAATTACATGATGTTCCATTTAAAGAATGTCAACAATCAACACTTCGTTCAAGAGCTTTATTATCTCCACGTTTTACTGACCATAAATCAATGTTTTCACCTATTCAAAAGAAATCACCAGAACAAGCACTTAGGTCTTTATTATTTTGTGACACACCATCTCTTCTTTATTGTTATTGTGATTCTGTTTGTTATTTCTTATGTAAATAATTAAATAAATTAAAATAATAATGTCTTTAGTTATTAAAACAAACTGTGTCCCTATCAGCAATTAATTCATTACTAGTATTTTATTCATCTCGTGGTAAAGTTACATTATTATTTACTAAACTTGGAGAAAAAGAAATCAATAAGTCAAAACAAGGAATTCCTCTTTTTAGAGGAAATACATCTTTTATTCGATTGTATAATGCATATGTTATTACATATTGCAACCACTATTTAATTGACATGGCAGATGTAATCGTTCATGAAACAGACCAACCTTCAATAAATGAACAGTATCAAATAACAAAATGGGTTAAATCATTTACAAAATATCTTGTTAATAATTTACATTCTATTTGTTCTCATCATAAAAGAATTATTAGAGAATTATGTCGTTATGTTTCACCTTCATTAGATAATCAAAAGAGAAGACAAGTTTTTACAACATTATTCTTTCTTCGTTATTTATTTCTTCCATTAATATCTTATCCTTCACTTTTAAAAACACTTCAAAAAGCTATTTCAGAATGGTTAAAACAACCAGAAAAGTCACAACGTGACCAAAATAATCCAATGACACCATTTAAAAATGCAATTGATATTGTATATGATTATATTATTAATTTTCCAGATGGAATGGATGTTGGTATGGTTGATCAACGAAAACAAGAAGAATCATTATGTCATCTTATTAGTATTCTTAAAGAAAATATGCATGTTCTTAGTAATTGCTATTCAGATGACTTTTATGATATCTTTAGTCTTGTAAAAGGAAATCAAGTAGACATTGCACCAACTAATGTTGCTGCATCAATAGATAATATTAAACAATGGAATGAAGACAAAATTAATACTATGACAAAAATTAATGTTGAATTAAAAGCAAAAATTAGACAAATGGAATTGCAGAATGAAAAAATTAAACAACAAATTAGAAGAATCAAATCAATTTAAATCCTGTTTTATTTTCAATTATTATTTCTTTTTATTTTCTTTATTGAATCATTAAAATAATTATTAAATATTAAGTTATCATAAATTAATGAAACACTATTATTTTCTTCTTATTTAATTTCATTCAATAATAATGTGATAGAATTTTAGAAATTAGTTAATTAATTGAATAAATTCTAATGTTTTTATTTAGTATTTTTAGTTTTATAATATTCTTTCTTGTGTTTGAAGTTTTTAATTTGAAAATTCTTTGTTGGTATTTAATATTTAATGAAGAGAATTTATTCTGATTTAGTTTAAATTATTCTCTTTTGATTTAACTGAAGTCACATTCATTTGTATGTAAGTTACTGTAACTGTTTATATAACACATTACAATGAATATTTAATTTATTTGTTTTCTGAAAGTAAGTTTCTTTCAATTTTTCTTTTCTCAAAAAGAAGTTTGTTTTAATAATGTAAGAATAACAAGTATTTTTCCATATAATTCAAGATTACAACCAGATGAAATAATGCAGATAATGAATTGGATATTAACATATTTAATTAAAATGTACTGTAATAATCAATTCAATCAAGTGTTATTCATACAATACATATTTGGTTGTTTTATGAAATATAAACCAATGATTTTCATCAAATAGATTATTTATATTATAATTAATAATTACATTATTACATTATTACATTATTATATTATTTTAATTTATTTCATTCTCTTTATGAAAAAAGAAGAAGAAGAAAATTCTGTTTCAACTTGAAACTCTAAAAAGAAACAAATAGAAATGGGACTTTCTGAAAGTAAATTACGAGCATTATATAAAAAAGCTGATAATCAAACATTGACAGACTTTTATTTATTTTTTAGTATTGTTGCTGAACAACAACCAATTGATCTTTCTAAAGTAAAGGTTGTTTCAAAAGAGAAAAAGATAGAGAAATTAGAAATGACGTATGACTCATTTAAACGTTTCTTTGATGTACCATATGATGAAATTACGAAATCATTTTTTAGAGTATTTGATGATAAAAACACACAAAAAACCACCTTTTTTAGTTTGTTTTATATTTAAATGAAATTCAAGTAAAAAAAGATAATTCTAAATGAATAGCATTTGCGTCAAAAATGTTAGCATATCCAACATTAAATGATCATGAAAAAACTCAACTTGCATATCATTTAATTAATACAGAAAATAGAAATGAATTAAATTATGAAGATTTTAATTTACTTGTCAATGCAACATATGAAAAAAATATCACAATTTCAGAATTAATTCAAGAATTACAAGTTATTTTATTTCCATCAACAACAATGCCATTGAGTTTTGAAGACTTTGAAAAATATTCTACAAAACCAAAGAATTATATTGATGTAATCATTGAAGGGTATTTCTATCTCTTTCCTGCATTTTGTTTACCTTGGTTTGTTAAACAGAAAAAGAATATACCTATGCTTAATGAAGCATTAAAAAAAGAAAGAGAACAAAGACTTAACATTGAAATGAAAAAGAAAGAAGAAGAAAATAAAAAACTAGAAGGTGATGAAGATGATGATCCTCTTGAAAGAAAATTAAAAGAAATTGAAGAAAGAAAAAAAAAGAAAGTTGTAGAAAAAGAAGAAGAAGCACCAAATTATGAATTTGATATAAAAAAAGATCCATTATTTGAAAAAGATAATAAAGAATGGTTTGATAGTGATGAAGATGAACAACAAGAAGGAGAAGATGAAGAGGAAAGAAAAAAGAAAGTAAATATTGTTATAAATCTAAAAGAAATAAAACCAGAAGAAAAGAAAAAAGTTAAAGCAATCTCATTTGCTTTTGGTTCAAAGCCAAAAACGAAAGATGAAAAGAAAAAAGAAAAAAAAGAAGAAAATGAAATAGAAGAAATTAAAAAAGCTCTTAAATTAATGGAAAATAATAAAATTGATGATGCAGAAATATTACTTAAAAAATGTGCTCAAATGGAATTAAATAATAAATTAACGAGATTAGTTAAAGCATATTTTCTTATGTGTGAAATTATTGAATTTAATGAAACAAAAGAAAATGAAGAAGGTGTTTTATTAAATTGTTTTTTAATGATTTTACCTGTATTAAAACCACATAGAAGATTAGCAATTGCACTTGCTATTGAATATTTAAAGAAAATGAATTGTTGTATTAGTAATGTAAATAATTTCTTACAATCTTTTGGAGAGAATGGATTAGAAATAAAACAAATTGTTAATAAATGTTGGAAGTGTGGTAAAGATAAAATAGATTTGAATAAATGTAATTGTGGAGAAATTTTAAATATTGTTTGTACTAAACGAGGTATTCAAATAGGAGGAAATAGTGTATGGAAATGTGATAAATGTGGATTATTAAATGAAGGAAGTCATTGTGTTCTTTGTAATAATGAAAAAAAAGAAATTATGTCTTCAGTAAATGGTACTTCAACATTTGAACCATTTGAAGATTTTGGATTTAATACATCAAAGAGTGAAGAAGTAAAATTTGATAATTTCTTTGGAAATGATATGCCAAAATTTGATGACTTTTCATTTGGAGAAAGTAAGCCTATAGAAAATAAAAAAGAAGAGGTTAATATGAGTGAGTCATTCAATCATGAAGAGGAGAAAACCCCTGACATTAGCCATGAGATAGATAATAATCAAAATAATATTATTAAAGAAGAACAAAAACAAGATTTCTCTTTTGATGATTTCTTTAGTAAATCAACTGATTCAAATACGTTTGGTTCAACTTCCTTTAATAATGACTTTTCATTTAATAATGCATTTGAACAACCAATTAAAGAAGAATCAATTAAAGAAGAATCAACTAAAGAAGAATCAACTAAAGAAGAATCAACTAAAGAAGAACCAGTTAAAGAAGAACCAGTTAAAGAAGAGCCAATAAAAACTGAAGAAGATAAACCAGAATTAATAAGTCATGAAGAAGGTAAAACAGACACTAACAAATTTGAACTAAATGAAAAGAAAGAGGAATGTATTACACAACAAGAAACAAAACAAAACTTTTCATTTGATGATTTCTTTAGTAACACTAACAACAATGAAATGACATTTGACTTTGTTAATAAACCAACTTCTCCATTTACTAACAATTTCATGGTTGACCAAACAGAAGTTGATCAAGAGCCAAAACAAGAAGAAACAAAAACAGTTATAGAACAAGTTAAAGAAGATAATAAGAATCAAACAAACTTAACTGAAGACAATGGTTTTGTTATAGAAGATGAAGAATATGTTTATCAAAGACCATCTCATTAATTGATATTTTTTTAAGTTTATAACATAGTGACTAAAGTTTAAATGAAATAAACCAATCAAATTAATTAATTAATGTCCTTTTTTCTTCATACTCAGAATCTTCAGAACAAGAATGTTTACGTTGTTCTTTTTCATTACTACCTTCATTAGAAACTAATGAAGGAATAAAGTCTTTAATTTTATTAAATTCATTCTTCGTTTCTATTACTTTTTTCTTTAATGTTTTAATTTTACTAGATATTTTTCTTGATGGAATTTTAATTTTATGAGTTTCTCTACTTTCAATATCATTTTCAATATCATACATATCATGATACATTCCAATAACTTGGTTCTCAAAGTTGCTTCTAGCTTTTTCAAGGTCAAATGGTTTTTTTTCTTCTTGTTGTTCATTATTATCTTTCGTTGAAGTATTATCATTATCTTCTTCTACCTGTGATAAATCAAATGAATCAATATTATTATTTTCATCAGATTTATTTTTGTTAGATTCTTCTGAAGTATTAAGTTGATCTTGAGAATTATTTGGTTTTTGAAGATTAATGAATTGTATAGGATTTTCATTAAATTGTTTTTCAATAGAAGATCTTATTTGAGGTTCTTGTGAATCAAGAAGTTGTTGAATTGAAGACTCAATTCTATTTTTTTCAGTAGCTAATCTTTTTTCAATTTCTTCTCTTTCAGTCAATTCAAATTTTTGAATTTCATCTTCATTTTGACTTTTTTTTCTAATTTGTAATTCTTCTTCTAATCGAGTATTTTCATATGTTCTTAACAATTTTAAACGTTTACTCATTTTATTTCTTTCTCTTTTTTGAATTAAGTCAAGTTGTTTTTTAACTTCTATTTGAATTTGTTGTTCTTTATTAATAAGTTTTAATTCTTCATTTTTTTCTTTTAGTCTTTCATTTCTTTTTTCAATTCTTTGTTGTTCTTGTAGTTCAACTATTTCTTCAAAAGTAAATATTTTATCTTTTTTCTTTTCTTGAACAAAATGAGGATTATTAGAAATATTTTTTGTTATACCGAATTCTCCATATTTACTTGTGTCTCTAATGATATTTTCATTAATTTCAATAATTAAATCTTTTTCTTTAAGCCATTCAATATATTGTTTCCAAGTTTTATTTGTACATAAGGTATTACTATTTCCAATAACCCATAAAGCATTTTTAGCTCTTGTTAATGCTACATTCATTCTTCTTATATCACTAAGAAATCCAATACTTGGTTTTATTTGAGAACTTCTTACACAAGAAAATATAATAATATCCATTTCTCTACCTTGAAATCCATCAATAGTATTAACACATAATTTTGACATGTCTTTTAATAATAATGATGTTTCTATTGCCATTTTAATTAATAGTAATTGTTGTCTATAAGGAGTAACTATACCAATATCCCATTCTTTACAATTTGGATATTTTTTTATTAATCCTTCTAATAATCCAATTACAATTTGAACTTCAACTTCATTTGCTAGTGTTTGTCCAACACGTTCTTCTAATCCACCACATGCATCATAAAATACAACAGGACCAAATCCTTTATCAATAGAACATGGTAAAATACTTTCATCTCTTCCATCAATTAATTCTCCTGAATAAAATTGATTTGATGGAAATTCTCTAATTAAAGGATGCATTCTGTATTGAATTTTTAACATATCAACAAATACTCCACATTTATATAATCGTTCAAATAAACTTCTGTCATAACCAGAATTTTGTGCTGCAACAGAAATTACAGTAGCTGGAAGTTGTTGAGGATCACCAATTAATATACATCTTTCTGCACCAAATCTTAAAGGAATTAAAGTTGATATTTCAACAGATTGAGCTGCTTCATCAATAATAACATTTTCAATTTTTTCTTTAATACAATTTAAAAAAATATCACTTCCTGAAGTATTTAAAGTACAACAAAGAATATCAGCTTCTTCAAATAATTGTTTTGTAATTTCTTTTCTTATTTTTGCAAAATCCCTTTGAATTTTTCCTTTTTCTGATTTCATTTGTTGTAGAGTAACTCTAAATGCATCTCTTTTATTATTCATTTCTTTTAATGTTTGTGTATATTTGTGTATTCTATTAATTTTTTTATCATTTTCTTTAGTAGATGAAACTACTTTTTCTTTTTCATTATTTAAAGCAATGGTTGTGTCTTCTATTTCTTTTGTTAATGCTCTCATTTTTTGTTCAATTGATGCAATTTTTGAACTAACATTTTCTGTTCTTTTTTGTTCATTATATCCTCTTTTAATTAATTCATTACTAATTAATGTATCAATAAGTACTTCATTAACTTTTGAATTAATACCTGCATAATTTCCTATTCTAATAATATTAACTTTTTGTTTTTTTCCATTTCCATTTAATATTCCTTCATTTTGAATTCTTAATACAATTTCATCAACTGCTGCATTTGAAGGTGCGCAAACTAATATTTTTGAGTGTTTCATTTTTATTGTTCCTTGTTTATTGAAAGACACTGGTTTACCAAAAATTATAGCACCTAAAATTCCTAATAAAGTTTTTGTTTTTCCTGTTCCTGGTGGTCCTTGAATTAATGAAAATCCTTTTTTTGATAATGCTGAATTAATACATTCAATTTGAGATGAATTAAAAATATTAGTTTCTTTCATTGTTTGTAAATATTTTCCAAAAATTCCATTTGAAGGTGAAGTATCTTTTAATGATGGTTTTAATAATGTTTTTAATAATGAAAGGTGTTGTACAGTACATAATGAAAGATATTCTCTTGCTGAGCTAATTATTGATGTAATTTTTCTCATATATACTTTTTTCCCTTTTCCAATAATTTTAAAGAAATTTACATTGTTTTGTTCTGTTGTTTTTAAACATCTTAACGTTAAGGATGACTCTTTATCTTCTTCTCCTTTTTTTACAATAACTCCAAGTATAAAAGGAAAATTTTTTGGAAATGTCCCTGTTTCAAATAAAACATTTGAGACTACTATTAAATCAAATTCACCCCATTCTTCTCGTTGTACATTTAATGAAAGTAAAACATCATTTCTTGTTATTTCAATTTTATTTATTACACCTTCAACAACAAATGGTTCTTCATTTTCAATAAGACTTTTTTGAATTGTTGCACGAATTTCATCAAATAAAATTGGTTTAAAACAATTAATATAATGTTCTGCTGATTTAAACTCTGATGGTGGACAATCAAATTTTGTTATTTCTGAATTGAAAGGATATTTAAAGGTTAAGACATGACAAACCATCTCTTTTTCAATATCAACTTTTTGATGTTCTGAGATTTCAAGCCATTTCACTTTCTTTGTTACTATTGGTGCTGAATATGAATGTGTTGTTAATTTAACTTTTTGACATGACTCTGTTGGATATCTCCTTTTGTTTTTATTAATTAGCTCTGCATCAGCACTTAGTCTATCAAAAATTTGGTTATAATCATTGTCATCTTCACTAATAGATTGATGAGGTGATTCCATTAAAACAAAATAAAAAATCTTAGTTTTTTTTTGTTTTAATTTTTTTATTTTATTTAAATTTCAAGATGGAATATCAAAATACATCTCAACCATTAAAAGAAATCAAATCATTAAATCATCAATTATTGTCTGTTCATAGTGTTGGTATTGAAAAGAAAATATCTTAAAAATATTGTAATTATGATAGTGATTAATATTTATGATAATGAAATATCAATTATTATAATAAAAGAGAGTGTGTTTATAATAGTCGTAATATTATTTGCTAATATAATTGTGGTATCAAAAGAAAAAATTGATTTGTGTAATGTTATTGATCGTCATAGGTAAAATTATGGATTAATAATAAATGGTTAAGATATATCCTTTCATCAGAAAATAAGAAAATAAAGAATGAAGAATTTTAAAATACATTTAAGATAAAAATAAAGATGAGATAACATATTAAATGAAAAATAGATAAGTTGATGAAATATGAAAAGACATTAACTCAATTTCAAAAAAGAAATGAAGAATAGAAAGTCATATTTCTCAACAAGAATGAAAGGCTAAAAAATAAATAATTAATGAGTAAACATTCTGAAGTCCTATTTGTGTGCTTAGTTTCTAGCAAGTAAAGAACGATAGAAAATAAATAAACTACCACTTAATTAACGACTTTTTATTATTTTGATTTTATTTTACCTTTTTTTTTTTGTTATATGATCTAAAATCATTTTGAACTAATAAATATATCTCAATGGAGAATTACACCCTCGCTCCATTATCACAAGTCACTAAATTCACTATTCAAGATGAATTGTATAAAGACAGTAAAATAGAAATACATAAAGCTACAGAACGATCAGGATTAAGACATAGACAAGTTCGTATTGTTGCAATTAAAATGATTAAAGTTGATGAAAATAAAATAGAAGAAAATAAAAGAAGAGAAGTTTATTCCAAATATATGGAAACCATTGATAATCCACATGTATTACAATATTTCAACTCATTTTATACTACAATTGTTTGTTCATTTTCTTATTTTATTACATAAGAATTTATTAAATATTAAATCACAACAGAGAGGGTCATTAGAATATTGGATTATTATGGAGTATTGTAGTTTTAAAAGTATTGATGAGTATTGGAAAAGTAATGCAATCATTCAGCAAGACCAGAATTTATTTTTTATTTCTGACATTGCAATAGGATTAGAATATATTTATGAAACATTAAATCATCAACACCTTCATTTATATCCATGTAATATTTTATTATCTCGAGATCCTGCTTCAATCTTCCCTAAAGTAAAGTTATCAAATTTCGGGTTATGTGATCAATTTGAACAGACAATCCCTAATGAGCTAGAATTATGTGATGTTGATTATGCTGCTCCAGAATATTTAAATTGGTACAGTCATTCTAAATCAGATGTATGGTCATTTGGAATGTTAATATTTAAATTATTAGTTGGTAGATTACCATTTGAGTTAATGCAAATGGATTCATTCAGTGCAATACCAGCACAAGTATTTATTGACGTTTCTTCATTTATACAAAATGAGATGGCATGCGATTTATTATCTAAAATGCTTCAATATGATCCAGATGAACGAATTTCAATGCAAGAAGTTCTTACTCATCCATTTATTCAAATGTGTAAGAATTATAAATATGGAACACAAGGTAAAAGAGAAAATTATAAACCCTTAAAACAATTAGATCATGGTCAATTTGGTCAAGTCTTTTTAGCAGAAAATACAGACCATACTCAATTTGCTATTAAAGAAATTTCACAAAGAATTGACTCATTAATACGTGAAGCTAGTTGTATGAGATTATGTAAACATCCTAATTTAGTAGAATATAAGGATTTTTTTGAATGGAATCATTCAATGATTGCTGAAATAAGAGGTGAACAAAGTCCAGAAGGGAAATATGTTTATTTAGTAATGGAATATTGTAATGCAGGGAATTTAGAAATATATATTAAAAATAAACCAACTCCATTATCAAATGAAGAAATTAGTTATTTTCTTGGAGAAATTTGTAGTGGATTATGGTATCTTCATTTTAATAAAAGATTAATTCATAGAGACCTTAAACCAGCTAATTTATTATTAAAGTCATCATCTTCAAAATACCCATTACTCAAAATTGCTGATTATGGATTTTCAAGAGGAATTGATGGAATGATGAAGTCAATGGTTGGTACTCCTTTATATGAAGCTCCTGAAATAAGAAAAAATCAACCTTATACTGCTAAAGCTGATTTATATAGTCTTGGTGTAATTTTATATTATATGGCTACTAAAGAATTTCCATTTACTGATATTCCTGATGTCTTTCAAAATGCAATGACAAATGAACTTCCTGCTGAATTTAGAGATGACATCATTATCAATGATCAACTAAAACACCTTATTCTTCATTTAATTACCCATCATGAAAAAGATCGTCTTTCTTGGAAAGAAGTATATAAACATCCTTATGTCATTCAATCTTTAAATCTTTCTAAAAGAATTAGATCAGCAAATGATGAAGTTAACAGTTTTTAAAATACAAGTTAGTTATGTTCTATTACAGAATGTAAGTTCATAAAAATAGAATATACCTCTAAATTTTACACAGAAAAGCTATAATTATAGTTTTATTTTACTAAATTAATAATATTTAATTATAGATTTTGAATATGACAAATTACAAGTTTAGA